GTATTAAGTTAAAAATAAAGATTTCTTCTTAAATTCAAAGACAGTTGAATATTATTGAGACTAAATTATTTCAAAGTTTACTGGGCTCAACATTCTACATTCTTGTTATGTTAGTTATTTTCATGGAATTCCACTATTGTACTTTAGGCTCATATAGCAAATCAAGTATGAAACAATGAGCAATTGTCTAATTTTAATATTAACTATTTTCCTGGGACCAAAATTCTTTGTTAAATGATTAATTAATACAGAAAACATGGTTGAGTGCCTATTGAAATTGAGTATTTTCCAGAGTTTTGCTTTATATTACTATTATGCAATTTTCCAGATAATGCTGGAGATTGTCTAAATGAGCGTGCATATTCCAACACTATTTGAGGGTGGAAATTAACACATTACCAAAAGGATTTCTTAAACAGAAATTTTTTTACAGCTAGTTTTACCTTTTTGTTCCGTAAACTATAGATAATAGGATTCAACATGGGTGTTAATCCAGAGTATACCAAAGCCATAAATTTGTCTATTTCCTGTGAATTCACTTCTAAGGGCTTCAGGTACATGGAGAGAGCTGTCCCATAGAATAGAACCACCACACTCAGGTGGGCTGCACATGTTGAAAAGGCTTTGCTTTGACCATCTACTGAATGCGATTTCTGGATACTGAAGAGAATAAAGGTATAGGAGATACAAATGAGTAGCATTGGCATGGGCAGAAGAAGTACACTGATCACTAGCATGATTAGCTGCACCATGGAAGTGTCTACACAAGCCAGGTTCAAGATTGCCAGAATTTCACATGTGAAATGATTGATGATGCTGTTTCCACAGAAAGACAACTGCAGTACAGCCACTGTCTCCACCAGGGCAGTAAGGCAGCCTGTAACCCAGGAGCCAACAGCAATCTGCACACAGACACTCCTGTTCATGATGATAGGGTATCTCAAGGGGTAGCAGATGGCCACATAGCGGTCATAGGCCATCATGGAGAGGAGCACACCCTCAGTGGAGCCCAAGGCAAGAGAGAAGTACATCTGAGAAGCACATCCTGTGAATGAGATGGTGCTTCTCCCTGAAAGAAAGTTTGCTAGCATTGGAGTGAGAGCAAAAGAGGTGTACCAGATGTCTAGAAAGGAGAGATTGCTGAGAAAGAAATACATGGGGGTGTGCAGGTAAGAATCCAGGATGGTGATGGAGATGAGAATTATGTTGCCCAGCAAGGTGAATAGGTACATCAGCAGACACAGTATAAATATGATGACCTCAACTTTGGGGTAATGGGAAAATCCCAGAAAGATAAAAACTGTTATAGATGTCCCATTTGCCTGGAACATTTTATTATGTTATGTTCATCTACACATGAATAGATGGATTAGTATTGCATGTTATACACATCAAAAAATTATCCCCTTTCACATTTTCTGGCGTATTTTTCCTTTATATTAACTTATGTTATGTGCTTATATGGTTCTCTAGATTAGTGATAGTATTATTAATGCATGCTTGAACAATCTGTCATTAGCATAATTTAAGTGAGAAATCAACAGATAAATCCTCAAATTATTTTTATTACAAGATTTTCTTTTTCAGCAATGTCAAGGGGGGTGGACTGGAATAGGGTTTATTTAGTAAACATTGCGAGAGAAGGCAAATAAAAACTCAGTTTTGCTTTCTTTGTTTTTCTAAGACTACATTTCTGATTGACTGTTCTGTCATCTGTTTACCTTTGAGCCATTGACGTTATTTTCTTCCTCCAGTTTAGTAATAGTTTTCTCACTTAGGAAAAGCTCTTCCCAAGTTCACACTTTCTTCTGCCACTCCTAGAGATACACCCAGAATTATTTGGGAGACTCACGGAGTAAAAAAGAAGTATAGATTTCTGCAGACACAAATTAATTAACTTGAACACTTAGAAACAAGCCATGATTTCCTTTTCAAACCCAGAAATAGGGTTGCAGGTTTTCTCTGGCAGATGCATGGCAGGTGTATCTTTCATATTGCTATGGTTGTCCTGGTATTTGTGCTGGGCAGACATCCTCCAAAAGGCCAGCCATTGAGCTTGGAAGGCAATTTAAACTGCTTGTTTCTTCTGAAAAATTTCCAACTAATGCAGCAAATTAAAGTTACAAATATGTTTGTACAGTATTACAAATTCTGAAACACTAGGGATAATGTCCCATAGATCCAATTATAATCAATAGCTTGTCTGGTCTAATTGTAGTACTATCCAAACATGACATAAATATATTCCTGTCAACATTGTCTTTACTTGTCTCCAGACTATGTTATGAAATCAGTCAGGCTATTTAACTTAAAGTTAAGGGACATGAATAATATTGGCTTTTTCTCCTTCAGATTGAAGGAGCGTTTCATAATATGTAAAAGATTATACCAAGTGTAATACCCACAAATGATGGAGGAATGTGAACTTAGGTAAGTCTTCTTTTGCTCATCACGGCTTAATAAAAGAACTTACATGAGGGCAGATGTGGAAAATGAAGGTCCATTTGCTTTCACAAACAGTTTTCCTCTGGGGAAGTTAACTTCACATAGTAAGGGCATTTTGACCTTTCAGAATTCCACAAAATCCATCTCTTAAGTGATGCTTTATAATCCCTGTCTACTTGTTTGTTTTCCTTGTGAAGATCTGATTTTTAGGAGGATATGTTGGTTTGGGGAAATAGGCTTTAAATTTCATCATGGAATAATTAAAATTGTATAAAAATAGTAAGCAAATTAACTCTAAGAAATGGAGTATTAGAAATAAATATTAAAAGGTGAAATAATCAAGAACACATTAAAAGTGAAATATACATAAAGAATATAGAATGAATTAACAAATAAAAGGAAAACAGATCTATATTCATATCTAGATATTTTAACTCTCATATTCAATAATTGCTAATATAAGTAACAAAAATTCAATATAGATTCAGGAGACTGAAAAAGACTACCAAAAATGATTCAATGGACATTTAGAAGATACTATTGAACACTTTCAGAACATGTATTCTTTTCTAGAGAGTATGACATATACTCTAGGATGGAATATATGCTGGTTCAAGAAAGAAAACTCAACAAATTTCAAAGCATAGAATACAATAGAATTAAATTTAAAAGGAGTATCAGCATTATAAGCAGAAAATTATAAAATATTTGCAAATTAAATAGTACATTTCCAAATAACTGATGTGCAAGGAAGAAATAACAAGTAAAACTAAAATATATTTTAAACTGAAGTCTCATGAAAATAAAATATATCAAAATGTGTGGGATTCAGCCAAATAGTGTTTAGAAAAACAATTTCAAACAATTACACTACAAAAGGAAATTTTAAATTGGTTATATAAGATTGCAACTAATTTGGAAAAAAAGAATAAAATATCTCAAAACAAGTAGAGGAAAATAATAAAGAGCTGAAAAACAACCAGAAAACAAATATACATTAGAAAAATGAACAAAGGTAAAATTGACTATTTGAAAATGTTATAAAATTGATAAATCTTCAGTTAATGCACTGGTCAGGTTTCTGTTGCTGGAAGAAAATACCTGATATACATAACATGAAAAAGGAAAGATTTCTTTTGTTTCACAGCTTCAAAGGGTTTTTTTCTATGGTTGGCTTGTTCTGCTTTTATTTGATAGAAATTGCTGTAAATATTTGGTTAACATGCTGTGATCAAGAAATAAAGAGAATTCTTACATTTTACAAATTAATAAAAATAAATGACACATTTCCATTTATTCCCCTCAAAATATTTCCCCTCACTTAAAGCACACTTGTCCCATCATTCTTGGTTGCATGTCCTTTACTGTAATAATTTTTAAAAAATTTATACATTAACTGTATCTTTTGATTACCCCTCGGATATATTACATATACATATAATCTTTTGCTAAATCTCTATTAACACATAGGCAATTATTTATTAATAGAGGGTGCATACATGTATAGACAATAATCAAATAATAAGGGATAGGTATTTAATACTAATGTAATAAGTCAAATAAATTTGAAAAATAATAGGAATTGATTAAGACTTGCAATTGTGATGATCCAGCCTTGTGCTAAAAGAGCAAAGGAGGAGCAGAAAAGAACACAAGCTGACTGTCCAGTCAAAGAAGGAGAAGAATAAAGTCACTAGTGTGGGGTGATAGGAAGTATTCTAGACCTGAGCCTGAGAGGCAGAGCTGAATGCTTCTGTGTTGCCTTGTTTGCTGCAGCATTGAAGGCTCAGAGAAAACTTGGCTTGTATAACATGGGGCAATGGATATGCTAAAGTGTTAAAGAGAGAAACTAGAAAGAGATATTACAACAGGCTTGAAAGTTAAATGAATTGAGATTTTCTAACAATAGCATGCTGACACTATGTGTCCATCAATGGTTACAGCATAACAAGCTGAAAATTATCAGAAAATCATGGGATGAAACAAGTGACCCCACTGAAAACAATGGGGTTAAGGAAATAGAGGAACCAAAGCCACAAATATTTGTCCTGGGGCTACGTGTAGGATATGTGGGGTTCCAGGTGAGGCCAACAGTTTGATTTATGATTTTTTTTTGGCTTGGATGATACAGGCATTGTAAATGCAATATTTCTTTTTTTTTTTTCCATTAAGTTTATTGGTACATTTTAGGCATACAGTACAGTTACATTCATCATTGGAAACTTGTACCCTTATGTGATGTATCTTGATTCTTATTTTTTCCCCATTCCACTACCCTCCCTTCAATCCCTCCATCCATCCCTATTTTGGGGGGGGGGGGTACCAGGGATCAAACTCGGGACCTTGCACTTGCAAGGCAGGCTGCAGAACCACCAAACTAAATCCACAGCCCTCCACCCCTCCCTAGTTACAGAGACTGTTTCCATTTTTTCCTTTTCTCATATTTTTTCCTTTCCCTTCTTTCCTTTCCCCTACCCTTCCCACTTCCCCTACCCCTTTGCCCCTTTCCTTACTATTTGACATTATTACTTATACACTTTGATCCTTATTTACACTTTTAGTTTTTCACACCAGAGAAACTATTCAGTATTTAGCCATGTGTGTCCTATTTATTTCACTTAAGAGTATCACCTCAATATGCATCCGTTTAGCTATAAATGTATCTAGTTTCTCATTTTTTATGGCAGAGTTGTATTCCATTTTATAAAAAAAAAAACCCAACATTTTCTTTATCCAGTCTCCAGTTGATGCGCATTTGGGTTGTTTTCAAGCTTTAGCTACTACAAAGTGTGCTGCTATGAACATGGGTGCACATATATCACTGTGGTATGATTCTTTTAATTCTTTTGGGAAGACACCAAGCAGAGAAATAGCTGGGTCAAATAGTACCTCTAATCCTAGATTTTGAGGAATCTCCATATTGAATTCCACAGTGGTTGCACCATTCTGAACTCCCACCAGCGGTGGAAAAATGTTCATTTTCCTGCACAGTCCAGCCAGCATTTTTTATTGGTTGATTTCATGATAGCAGTGATTCTTTCTGGGGTGAGGTGAAATCTCAGCGTTGTTTTCATTTGCATCTCTCAAATGATCAGTGATGTTGAACATTTTTTCATATGTTTATTTGCTGCTTTTACTTCTTTGTCTGAGAAATGTCTGTTCATTGCAGATGTCCTTTTTTGAATTGGGTCTTTATATTTGGGGGTTCCGATTTTTTAAAGTTATTTATATATTCTAGATAGTAGTCCTTTGTCTGAGGAACAGTTGATAAAAATTTTTCCCGTATTATAGGTTGTTTCTCAGCTCTGTTGGTGGTTTCTCTTGCAGTGCAGAAGCTTTTTAATAAGATGAGATCCCAGTTGTTGATTCTTTGCACTATTTCCTGTGCTACTGA